TAGGATTAGTTAAGTATCATTATATTTGTATTCTTATTTATGTTCAGCGCATAGGTCTCTATGATATGCGCTCTATAAGTCGACCATTATTATTATTATTACAACCACTGTAGTTACAGCTCTACTTAATCTTTTTTCCATACAATCACCACACTGTCTGAACTGTGAACTGAACTTCAACACTTTTGTAACAGGCATGTTCATTTGTTGGCCTAAATTTGTTACACACCTAAAAAAGGTTCTTGTCATTTGAATAATGACAACTATAAGACACAATAATATTGTTTTCCTTCTTTTCATTCTCCTTTCTTTTCATATTCCCTTTCTTCCCCTTCTCCCCCCCCCCCCCCCCCCACACTTTTTTTCTCTTTTTCTTTTAAGCAGTTCAACAAGCAAGAGAAATTTAGGTGTGTTGTAAAAGAAAAAAAATAAATAAAAAATAAATAGGCCCTAAATATTGGCGCTAATAACTAACAATTTAATGACTACAAACCTAACAGTGAAAAAAAAGTAACTGAACAGTTTAATATGTTTGGAAAGGTAAGGTAATGTAGATAGCATCGAAGATCTACTTGTCCATGCTGTCGACTACAGCGTTTTCAGTACGAGTTGTACCGAAAGCTGTAAGCGATATCGTTTAGCGATTGTATGGAAACCAAGCTTGAGACCAAGAAGAAAACAAGATGATATCAAGATGAATTATGCTGCGTTACCGACGATGGTTGTAATTTTCTTTAATGCTTTTGCGAAAGTAATTGCGGACTCGGCCTCCATTCGATACACTAATATAGGCCTATTATTTGACAAACAAAAATGTGTCATATTAACCGTATTAGATATAAAAAGTATCTGTTATATAAATTGAGCATATATCACGAATTAATTGAATTTTCGTGTTGTAATATTAGTATTGAATGTCGATATCTTCAAATGTGACCACAAAAGCACCAACATAACACAGTAAAACAATGCAGGTGTCTAGAAACTTTTATTTCATTTGTGTCATACCTGAGCAAGCGTATTGCAAACGCGGTGTAAGTGTACGGGCACTGCGGGCATTTTTAAAAGCCAGGTTTTTTCCATAGATGGTTTCTTCTGAAATCCTGAGCGCGTGCACCACCGGCTTTGCCCGCGCAGGTAGTTGGTGGATAACGCGTTGCACGCGGGAAAATTTCGGGCACTGTGTACAAAATTTCGGGCACTGTATACCATGTAATTTACAACCGTGATGTTCATCTATAATTCATGTAAACCAATCTATTTTTTAAACTAATCGCTTCAACATGATGGCGGTCTTGAATAAAAGACAAATAATGAGCAATGGAACAGATAGGGATTTTCACTAAGAACCATTAAATAATTTTTTTCATTCATCGTAAGTTTCACAATTGAAATTGAAAATAGGCTTATCAATCTTTGATGCATGCCGCCTTAAATATAATTGTTTGGAGTCTCCAAGTAGGATATCTATCTATTGTATCCTTCATACATAATGACAGTACCACTGCATATGAGTCGAATATTAGTTTATTTTCATTAAGTATAAATTCATAAAATATCTTAAGTGTTCTTCATGAAATGTATTAGGCCTAATCTCCGTAATTTGTAAGGCACAGACACATCTAATTTGTATATTGTGGCGTTGATTTGGAGAGTAGGCCCTATTAGATCTCGCTGGGTTTCGTCTTTTAAATAGTCTTTGGTCTTTGGAAAACTTTTATAATCAGGATTTCAAGGTATAGTCTCCTACCCCGGGACAAGCAGGTAATGGAACAGGCCATTAACCTCTATTTCCCTTGACCATGACGATCCGCCCATTTCGGTCTTTGGTTCTCTCGATTACCACTTGCCACCTCGGCGAAGTACAATAAAATATATACGCACATTAGATATAAAGTTACTTCAGGTCCGATCTATCGATATTTTATGAGTCATTATAAGTCACAGATTAAGAGTGTTCAGTGATTTATATACGTTTCTACACAAAAGTTACTGGAAGAATTGTAAGATACTGTACAATAATTATAGAAATGGTTTTATTAACACGTTCGATTGGCGGGGACATTTTCTTTTCGATGTTTTTTTTTTCAATAAGCTAATAACTTATTGATATACAGTACTAATAATTACAATTACTATTATACTACCTTATATAGAAACTAGTACAGTGCAAAAATACCATTTCACAGCATACTGCACATCTTGGATCATAATATAGGCCATGTAGTAATAAGAGTACCGATCCGATCATTGATGAATTGCATTAAAATATTTTGTATAATAAAAATAATTTACCTTTATATGTATATGTGTGTATGTGTATATATGTATATATGTGTGTGTATGTGTATATGTATATATAGGATAATATAAATCATCAAAGGTACATATACAGTGTTTAATAAGGACATGATGGAACATGTCCTTATTAAACACTGTATATGTACCTTTGATGATTTATATTAGGCCTATATTTATTTAGCAGTAACGGCTAACTTCCTTCAATATCATATATGTATATATGTATATATATATATATATATATATATATATATATATATATATATATAAATATATGTATATGTATACATTTATAAATTAATATTGATAAATGCTCTATTGGTATTGATGTATAAAAGGGAAAAAATCAAATACTTGCCTTAAACCATTTCTCTATTATTTGAATACTTGTTTTGCATTTTTTTCTTTTGTATTATTTCTTAATTCGTACAAATGATTGTATTCTTATGAAAATAATATAAATATATGAAAAAAAGCAAAATATATTAAATGTTGGTATAAAGAGAACACAAGGTTAACTTGGAAAAAAACTATTTGAAGCAGAAATATTGTACTGATGTTTGTTTAATGCAGATTATTTTTGAATAAAAGTGGTAGTCATGCCACGAAAGAGGAAAAAAAACAACAGTACTAATAGGCCTAATAAAATCCCGGGCCATACTGTGTCGTACGAGGTACGACCGTCGGCGGACCAATCTATATCCCTTCTCTGTGAGCATTAACGACGCGAGCCGTCTGCTGATTGTCGGTACCGGTCTGTCGACAGTCGGAGCAATGAAATATGCCCGGAGTTAGCAATTAAACCATTTTTTAAAAATAGTATATCATTGTTGAGGGTTTTTAACATTTTTATAGCAGTTTATTTTCATTAACTCCTGCATAAGTGTATATGCCTTAGGCTCACAGTTTGCAGGATATAGTAATCTTAATGGTAATGCACTTACAAAGTGTATAATAACGACTTACTTAATTCGTCGAATTTGTTATAACTTGTAAATTTTGACTCTAAGAATATTGTAACCATTGTTGATGGTGCTTGACTTAGAATAACTGGTTCAAAAAGTCCAGATACTGTAAAATACTATTAAATTATACAACAAACATTATTCATAATAATACACACAATGCGGCCGAGCGTTTTTTACGAACAGCACGACAGATTAAAATACTCTATTTCATTGTATGCATTTATTTATGGAACGCGCGCTTTGAAAAGATATTGATTAAATTATATTGTATAGCAATCCTCAGGCATATTTTTAAGGTGGGTGTTTTAATGGTCGGGAATAATGAACACAATTATTTATTATGATATATGGTGCTTTCATTCTACTTAATGATATTTAATGTATAATGGTCAT